TATTATTTCAATCAAGAGTATGCGGAAAATATTGTTTTTGGGTGGCTGAGAACATGAGACGAAAAAAAATCCAAGAACCTATGACCACCCCGTTATGGAGTCATAACTGTATTTAATGGTTTGCTTCCTAACATTAAATTGTTACTTATAATTTTTTGTATATTTTGTACCAGCTGTTCGAGTTCGTAGCTTTTTAAAAATAGTCATCTATGAAAGTTACATATATCGCCACTACTTCCACTAACCTCAACTGTAGGAGAATATAGCGCGCCTGCGGTCAAAAGTGTTCGCTGGAATGGTTTTTTGTGCATCAGTTTCTCTTCTGGATAGGTTAGGCTATAGCGCCCCTGCTATAATTTCGGCTCGAATACCATCTTTTCGTGCCTGCCTTAAAAATAAACCTTGTCAACAATGAACCTAGTCGCTAAAGAACTCAGAGTCGCGCATCACATTCGTAGACAAATCTTGCGGTTTGTTGACACTACTAATAGGTATAAGTTTGATCCAACTTAGTTGGGTGTGAAAAGCTATGCACGAAAAAACCGTTTCGAATTTTGGCGCATACCTTTGGCCGCAGAGGCGTATAATGATGGAAAGTGCATACTCTTGAGCCATTTTGCCTTGACAGATACTAACTACAGGTATTTATTCTATTACATTACGTGAAGCTTATGTTGTCATGTTTGCATGATTTGTGATCCGTGAGTGATAAATATACTTTGTTATCTTGCATGGATTCTTTCATAGAATAGGCAGACTGGTATATTTCAACTGAACAACAACTAATCGAATCACTCCCGAGGGTCCCTACGTAGGGACTGCCTTCATCAGACTAACCCTTCATCTCGTTTTCCTGATTTCTACATTTACATGATTCTTTAGGACACTGTGAAGGCGTGTGGTTTTTTTTCTTACCTGGATTTCAAAAACCACATGGCCAATATCGCTTTGGTTCCTTGTGTTCATATATTGTGTCGTTGTAGAAGCGAAAAATGTGTGAGGAAGGAAAAGGTATCAATTGGCTTCGGTCAAGAAGCGCACTGAAATTCAGTCAATACACATTTGATCCTTTTCGTAGTGAATCTGTCTTTGTTGTTAGGGTTTCCCATTAGTGGGGGGGGGTCGTATTTATTGGCTGGGGGGGGGGGGGGGGG